CCTGCCTGTCCTGTGCCTGCCGAGCAGGGCTGAATCAAGCCCAAGCTGGCTCCTGCTCCCACCTCACCTTTCTAGCAGTACCAAAGCAAGCTGCAAGCAGAGCCCACCCCACTCCCCTCAGCACTGCACCTTCCTGTCCCTATGTGCTGCCTGGAGCACTTCAGCAGGGACAGGAGGAGGAGTTGCTGGAGGCCAGAGGAGTCCAGCAGTTCCCTGGGCGGCAGCAGCCCTGCCTGGAAGCTTTGCCTGCTGGCCAGGGCTGGTGCCCTCAGGTAGGGGGAAAGGGATGCTGGGAGCATAGTATGTGCTGACCCAGGTGGGACTGGGCAGGACTTGGTCCCATGTAGAGCACAGCAGACTGCTTGCCTTGCTTCTAGTGCTGGGCTTGTGTGCTCTGGAGAACTGCCCCTTTAGGTGACTCTCTAAGCACAGGGGTTTCTTCTTGAGCTTAATAGTCAGCCTGTCTCTCTGCTGCAGCTTAGCCTAGCTGCTTGCAGCCTTTATGTTCACGCTGCTTGGACTCTGTCCCACAGCTGCTTGTTTCAGTGCAGCTAGTTCCTGCCCAGCTGCCTGCCTCCACTGCTACACTGCCTGCTGCATTTTTTCCTTTGAAGTAATAGGAGCCTCTGGCTCCTTGTTACAAGGCGGTACAGCAGGAATGAGAATTAATAGAGTGAAAGATCACATGATAGTAAGGACCTTGCTGGAACCGTTACCTTTTAATTTCTAGAATTATTGAACATCTGACTTTGGTGACATTCATGAAATTTGAGCACAGTAACTGGATGTGTTGATCCAAAAGGTTAGTGGTCCTTTGGGAAGTTGCATACAGGACACGGAAAGAGAGAGACTATTAGGAAGATAAACTTTTAACCTCAGTTTGGAGTCGAGAAGGGGTATTCATCAAATAAAATCTTGTTTTTTAAGTGGGGAGTTGAGGTCTGAACTAGTGGTTTTTAATCTGTTTTCTTCTCGCTAGATACTAGGATGTCAGAGTGAAAATTAGAAATGCATCTCAGCCTGGTGATTACACAGTATTCTAGACAAGAAGATAGTTCTCACCTTCAAAATGTTTATGACTTTTGAATTTAAATGTAAATTTATTTAGTAGCCAAACAGGAGTAGAAAGGTTCCCAAGTAGGAGGTAAATTGTCTCTTTTTAAAAATTGGTTTTCAATACAGTTATCTTTCATTGTAATGTTTGTCTTACAGAAAGAAAGAGACTCATAGTTATGTGAAAGAAGAAGGACCTTTGGCTTCTCTTTTGACATCTCTTGAGTTAGCTGAAGATAAATCTGTATCTGCTACACCTTCAGTACTAGAAAATAGTTGTGTTATTTCAGATAATATGGATATATACTTGTCAGAGCATGATGAAAAAGTGCTGTTGAAAAAAGATGAAAAAACAGAAGAAATGCATAGAATTATTGAAACAGAAGCAAGTGAAACTGACACAGTCATATCTGAGGAGACAACAAGCTTGCATATATGCTCTTGTGAAGCAGTTCAAGAATACAGTGATAACAAGATCCTTGAAGATCAAAGTGAAGTAGATCAGTATACTGAAATTCCATTAGAACCAGAATTAATACAAATAAAAGACATTATGAAACAAAATGATTCATTTTTAATTACATCGGTGAAGCCAGAGTTATTAAACTTTGTAGGTGATTGGCCTGTAGAACAGACAATGGGGCAGAGAACCAGAAGGACTAGGAGAATAGAAAAATCATCTGTGATTAGTGATGAAGATAATAAAGCCACCAGCCAGCCTCCTCTGGAATCATGTGAGGCACAAGTGGGCCTGGCTGATATTCAGCCTGGTGAAAAAAAACAGGAAGAAATTTTACCTTGTGATACTCCTTCTGTTTGTGGTACAGAAACAAAAGCAGCAGAATTGGAGATGGTGGGAGATTGGCCTGCTTCAAACTCTTTAGAGCAGAGGCAGCACAGATCAAGGAGAACACAAAAAACAAGTCAAAGCCAGCCTGATGACGCTGGAAATAGTAAATGTGATATACACAAAAACACTCTCAGCACAGTGAATGTGCTTCATGGAACATCTTTGGGCATTGAAAAGCTACAGGATGCAGAGAAGTCAAATTTTCACAAATTGGAAACAGTAACTAGTGAAATTGTCAGTGAGAGAAAGCCACAACAAAATAAGAGAACTCGGAAACACCATAAATTAGCTGTAACGTTTACCAACCATGATTTGGCCCTTTCCAAGCCAGAGGAACAGTTGTCTACTCCTAATTCACTGGAAGAAAACCTGGAAAGACATGCATATAAACAACTGAGCAGCTATACGCAAACCGAGCCACAGGATTTTGCTCTCTTGTGGAGAATAGAGAAGAAAATTATCATTTCTGAGAGTCCTAAAGTATTAAATAGTAGACTAGATGGATTCAGACCTAAAGATATGGATTCTGCTTCAGATTCTCTGGAAAAAATACCGTATAGAGTTACATATGATAAAAGCACATATGTAGAAGAAAGTGAACTTACCAGTATTGATGAATCTGAAAATCTTAATATTCTTTGTAAACTCTTTGGCTCCGTTTCATTTGAAGCACTGAAAGACTTGTATGAAAGATGCAATAAAGATATTGTCTGGGCCACTGGCCTGCTGCTGGATTCTGATGAAAAGTTGTATAAGGACAAAGATACTGAATGCTTACAGGAAAAAGGAACAGAACCACTGGTCATCAACCTTCACTCCAAGGCAAATACAAACTGTGGAGATAATTTGAATAATTCTGAACAAATCAATGAAATAATTATGACTGATGGTGTTCTACTTTCAGAAGACAATAATTTATCCATTTTTGATACAGAGAGTAAAACTACAGATATACTTGAAACAGATGCTGAAGTACCTGATTCATTAATGAGCCTTTCACTAAATTCTTTGGTAGAACCCAGAAATACCAGTGACATTGCTTCTCAAACTGATGCAGAAACTACAGGAACAGAAATGGAGCAATCCATTTCAGAGGCACAGGAAGTAAACTTAAATGATACAAGCCTGGTTTATGAAGTGGAAAATAAGCTACCAGTCTTGCAGCCTGATGTGGGTTTATATGCATCTATGCCTTTTCCTAATGTTCTTAGCTCTTCTTCTGCTATTTTGGAACCTCAGTTAAATAAGGATAGAGACAGTGAACCTTCAGAAAGAGATCCAGAGAATCCCAAAGTAGATAAAACGATTATTAATTTCTTGCAAATGGATCAAGCACCTTTGATGAACCCTGCCAGTGACAAGCAAGAGTTTAGGACTGATAAAGAAACTCAGGGGAACCCTATGATATCTGTTGGGAATGTTAAAGAAGAAAGTAAAATCTCAGATAGCAATGAAGACAAAACCAAGATATCAATTTCTTCTCAGTCTTTGAATATAGATTGCCTAGAATTAACATTACAGGCCGAACTGGCACTTCAGCTGAAAGAAATATTTGGGCCAGTTGGCATCGACTCTGGTAATGACATACTACTTCATAAACATATATTTGCAATATAGGTCTATTTGTGTTTTTAAATTTAATCTTATATTTTACCATGCTGATTTCTTTGGGAAATGCTTTTGATACAATGGCACTATTCAAAATCTATTGTTACTTTATAATATAATCACAGATGGAACATAATAAAATATAGCAGTAAGTATAGCTATTTTCCCTTTTTAATTCTTCAGCTCTACCCATATTCATATCTGAAGTAATATCGTAAGAGAATATTTGAGTTTGCCTTGCAGTTCAGGAGAATCTAGTTTCAGACTGCTAAGGCTGGGGAGATGATGATGGAAAAAGGTGGTGGTTGGTTGGAGAAAAAAGGGACAGGAAATCTTAAAAGTAGAAGTAAATGAGGAAGGAGGAAGCTGAAGAAAGTGTTAGAGCAAACTTTTTCTTAAAAGATGTTGTACTAGTCTGAGTGGAAAAATCCTAAAAAAATACCTGAGAAAACAACTGAAGATGCCTCAAGATACAAAATGGAAATTCAAGGAAAGGAGAAAAGGGGGAATAAGGAAGACACCATGAGATACAGTAACCTTTTTGCTTTTCCTAAAGTATATTTGTTATAGAATGTGAATCTACAGTTTATCAGTGGATCTGGACATGTTCTATCACATTTTAAAGGAGTGTGGGTACTATTAAGTCTCGGGCCTGTTCTGTTTCTTTGTGTGTTGTATATCAGTGTCTTTTTCTTTTTTAGAGGTTGCTGGGTATAACAGGTGTTTGTAGGAAAAGCTTTATCACACAGTTGCCATGATCACTTCTGCTTATTTGATTAGAGTAGAACAGGAGTGGCTAATGTGCAGCGTGGGTGGGATGTGGTGGGGGAGCTGGGAGAAGAAAGCAAAGGAGCAGGTTGGGCACTGAGCACAAGGAAGGAAGCAGGGAGCGGAGTAGTGGATCAGCCGGGGATCACAGGGCTGGTAACAGCAGGATAGGGGAAATTGATACCTGCTGGGGATCAGGATGGGGGAAGTGGATTGGAGTAGAACTCAGGGAGGGTGAGGGGCTAATTTGCGGCATGCCTGCCAAAAGGTTGGTCCTCATTGGAGTGGAAAGTGGCACCTTATGTTTTTCTTTTCCTGGAAAAATATTTCTCTAATTTGGGAATGATCCATGGAGGGGGTGCCTGGGCAGTTGTGCCCACATTAGGGCAGTTGTGCTCACATTATTGTATTGTGTTAATTAGGACTATCTGCAGACAGGAATTAAATGAAGGGAAATGCAGTTTTGCAATTGGTCACAAGGTTAAAAATTGGCTGCAAAAAAAACAAAAAAAGAAAAGCAGTGATGAATATATAAGAAATTATGCTTAACAATACCCCCAAAAACTATAGAAGAGCTTCATTTAGTAGTTAAGATTATGGAAGATACAGTTCTTAATAAGTTGACCTTCACAATTTGAGTGCTGGTTTATGAATTCTGTGGGGAGAATGTCTTTGTTTAACTTAGCAGTTGCACTTCTTTCAGGTATGACCTGTAAATGCAAATTGCAGTCCTGTATTTGGTTAAACTAACCTTTATACAGTGTTGTAATGAGTATATTTTCTTTCTTTCAAAAGGATCATTAACGCTTGAGGATTGTGTGGTTCATATAGATCTGAATCTGGCAAAAGTGATTCATGAGAAATGGAAAGAATCTATTATGGTCTGTTGAGTTCTTTCTTATGAAAATGTACACTTGTGCTTTGTCAGTCTATTTGTTTCTCTTTAGGTATTTGCCAGAATTTTTTTTACAAGATGTTTATATTCCTAATTGAAATAATGCCTCAAACTGCAAAATTGGAAGGGTAGTTGGACATGCAACATAGAATAATTTATCTAATATTAATTATGAGATCTGATTCAATATCTTAGCATAAATTATTTTTCTCTGCTCTGTTATTTGAAAAGTAATTTTATTTTCAAAATTTTACCTCTTAATCTATTCTTATCTGTTGATACATGCATGAAATGTAAAATATATATATTTAAAGCTATTATAAATTAATGTGAAAAGAGTTTACCTGGAAGGTAATATTTCTTGTGTTTCATTGGTGGGGAATCTATATCTGTGTTTCATTAACTCTCAGTTATTTTTTTCAATAATTGTATTTAGAAGCGGCGAAGGAAAGAAGATGGATCATATAAACTGCTTGTGGAAGGTGCAGTACACACTTTCATTACAGCAGTGGTTTTCAAACTTCCATGGAACCCGGCGGGGTTTCATAGGTCATCAGGGCTTCCATAAAGTTATTTGGGGGTAATGGCAGAGAGTAGGCATTACCCCCGAGGCAGTGCACTGCCACTGCAGGACCAGGTTGCCTGAACAGTGTGAGCTGACGTGTAGCAGTAGAGCCAGGGACAGAAGGGTTCTGTGGCAGAAGTGATATGCAAAAGTTCTGAGCCTTTAAAAAGTTTGCAAACTACTGCCTTACACTCTTATAGAAATGCCCTGTTCTTAAAATGACAGTAAGATTAATTCATGAGAACTGAGTGCTTCTTTTATTAAGCTAAGTTGCCTACCATTCTCTCACAGTGGAAGCAGTGGCATTGTAAACAAATTAGCTAAAACTGTTAATTGTAATAGCAGCACTGAAGTGCTGTGGTGACTGACTTTTGCATATTTCTAAGATCAAAGTACTTCAGGCTAAACTACAGCTGGGTGTGCATGAATGTTGGAAAGGCAGCCACAGTCTCAGCTGATATAGGGTGCACTGTATATCAGGCAACTGCCATTTGTGGAGTTAGCCTTATGCAAGGGAACCTTGGCATTCATCCCTTCCATCCATTCTGATTAGGAGGATTGATTTAATTTGGGGCAAATGCATGTCACACTGTTTCAAAGGGTGATGAATTGGCTAATCCATTATTGAGCCCTCAGTTTCCCAAAAAGAATCATTTGCTAGGGCATCCCCTTTCCTTTACCCTAAACCTTGGTTCTGACAATAGCCCACAATTCACATCATAAGCAGATTCTTAAAAATGCTGTTGGTTTACTGACTAAACTGTGCCATTAATATCAGCCATAGAAACATAGAATCAACTTGTTGAATAATAAGGTGTTGAAAAAGGTGAATGCATGGAAGTAACTGCATCAACACCCCCCCCACAACAAAAAAAACCCCAAAACTGCCCATTTTCATCTAGTTACTCATTTGTGATTGAGGGTTAGTTGTCAGTGTTTGAATTTTTCAGTGTTTTTAGTTGTAAGTTTTCAGTGCTTAAATGTCAGATATTTACTTTCTAGAATTAAAATGAAGCTTGTTTAGACTTTTGAAGAAAGAGGCAAAGGGATAAGGAGGAAGGGAAGGGAAGGCAGAGAGATGATTAAAGTAAGGTAATATTTTTGCTAGAAAATGCTTAGATAAAGTAGATATTAATGAATTATAAGTAAATTACAAAAAAATGTGTAAAATGCATGCAATTAGTTATGGCTATGCTTTGATTAAATATATTGTTGAGTGTTTCGTTCTGTCACCTTTGGGTTTTTGCTTTTTGGAAGGTCCCACGCTGATTGAGCAGTTAGATTTAGATGACTCGGGCACATTCTTATCTCAGAGCACAGACAGTAAACTGCAGAAGAAGAAAATGACTTGGGCCTCATCTTCATCTAACACCACACAGATTAAAAATTCAGCAGCACCAGAAGTTTTCCCTTTTATGGATCACTGGAATGCACAAACACAGAAAGTATCACTCAGAGAAATAATATGTGAAGAAATTGCTTTACAAGAGAAACAGGACCTGGTATGAATATTTTTACATTTTATGATGCCTGTTATTTTTTTAATCTGGTAAACTTGGAAGGCATATTTTGCATCTATGGTTGCCTGTTTTCATGTTGCCTGTCTAATGCTGACCTTCTGAGACTGATGGATAGCTAGTTTTATAAGTGATTCTGTAATAGCAACAGTGTATTTAGGATCCTAGATAAAAGACAGGTTTTTTCCTACTAAAATAAATCTGTTATTTAAAAGTTTAATGTCTTGTTTCACACACAGATCATGCTGGATTTCAGTGAACAGGTTAGCATTTGGTTGAGCTGCATTTTTGGTTTTCACATTAAAAAAAGTTTATTAAATTGATTTTTATGCATTTTTTGAGAGAGAGCTTTGCCAAAATTGTTAATTAGCACTATAGGATGCTCATTTAAAAATGGATTTGCCTGGTTTTAATACTTTTTACAAAGAACCCACATCGTTACTAATAAAAATGAGTTAAGATTTCACTTTTTTCTGTTTTTTCATACTGCCTTCTTAGAAAAGGTTATTTAATTCTTCCATACAGTTTTGTTCTTTTTCATTTTTCTAGTATTCATTTTTTTCCTGTCTTTAATGTGGAGCTGATAGTTATGTAACAAGAGTGAGTGTGTATGCCACTGCCTTCTGCTGGAGCCAGTGCAAGACCAGTGTAACTGTATTACTTTATAAGTCTCCCTATTGCCTTTAAGCACCTGTTCTAAAAGGAAATCCCATTTCTGCTTACATAGATCAAACATTTAAAAATAAAGGTTTATAATCAGAGTTGTGGGTTCTTTTCCGTGAGCTGCATGTACAGTTATAACTATGGTGTCCATAAATAGTTTTCAGCTTGGATTAATGGGATTTGGTTTTGCTTTGGTCACTCAGATTAAAAAAATGTGGATGCTGGAAATATCAGTTTTATTTCAGCTTTTAACTAAAGAAGGGTGTTCCAACATTCCTGGAACCTTAAGAAATCTGGATTTAGCTTGAACAGCAGATGCCTAAACTAAAAGCTCCTTTCAAGAAATGCTCTACCATCTGCCTTTTAACAAATTAAAGGAGCTGTAGCTCAGTCACCCCAAATGATTGGGACTGTGGCAGCATGATATCCTTACTTTCTGTTCATCAGTGCAAATGCATGGCTGCTACTGAAATACAATTATTTTCTTTTTTATCATGGGTGTATAGATTGGTTAGGTTTTTTTTCTGTGTAGTCGTGACAAATGAAACACATTACTGAATCAGTTCTGTTACTGATATAGATTCCTCTAATGATAATGTGGGGGGGTTATTTTGTTTTACTTTCTGGATTAGAAACGTGCCGCTAGCATGGCTAGAAAAGATTGTGCTGCCAAATTGAAGGAGAAGCAACTCTTTGAGATGTTTCCAACCATTAATCAAAACTTTTTAAGGGACATCTTCAAGGATAACAAGTGAGAGATCTTTACATGTTTCGTGTGTTCCTTTGTGAAATGTTGCATAATACTTTTTTACGTACATGGTTATTCTGTCATGATTAAGTGCAAGAAAAGGATATTTTCAAAAGAATAGCAAAATAACAAATATATTTAGCTATGATTAAGTATCATATCATCTCAGTTCATCAAAATTGTCTCAATCAATCACATCTCAATTAATCAAAACTCTTTCTGGGGCTCCATCATCTTTTAAGCTGTATAATACTGATGAGGAGAAATGGGTTCAGCTCAAAGGAGCCATCTATCAACTTGTCTTGGACACTTGTGGTACCTTGCATCACACCTCAAACAGTTGATTCAATGAGAACTCATCTGCAGTGATCCCACTCATAGAAAAGAAATGGTCAACTCTCCTTAAATATAAGTGTGACGTTAGCCATTTCAGCTTGCAGGCACTTAGAGAGATCCAGCAAAAGGTCAAATGTACAGCGAGATGGTGTGCAAACATTTATTGGCTACAACTTTGCAGAAGTATCCAGAAAGCTGCTGACTGAGGCAACATGCAAGCAAAGTATGGGGGCATCAGGAAAGCTCCTGGGCTTGTTTTGCGGAAGACTGTCTCTTTAAATGACCACAATAAGCATATGGATCAATGGGTTGAACGTTACTTAGAACTCTGCTCTCACAGAGAAAATGTGGTCTGTGACTCCGCTCTAGATGCACTTGAAGACCTCTCAACCCTGACAGTACTTGACAATGAACCTACTGTCGTCGAAGTAGAAAAAGCCATTGATCTGCTTGCTTCTGGTAAAGCCCCAGGCGAAGATTGTATAACGGCTAAAGTTATTAAGTGCAGGAAATCCATCCTTCTCCTCCATCTGCATGAATTAAGATGTATGTGTTGGAGAGAAGGCGAAGTTCCTCAAGATGTGCAGGATGCAAGCATAGTTACGCAAAAACAAATGACTGATTGCAGTAACTATCGCGAAATTTCCTTGCTTCGCATCATTGGGAAACTGTTTGCCAAACTTGTCCTTTTAAGACTTCAGACTCTTGCAGACAGAGTCTACCCTCAGTATCAATGTGGTTTCAGATCTGGTATATCCATGATGAATATGATATTTTCCTTGAAACAGCTACAGGAAAAATGCCGTGAACAAAGGAAATCTCTGTACATATATGGCATTTGTCGATCTTAACGGAGCTTTTGGTTTTGTCAGCAGAGGTGATTTTTTCTGAATCCTGAAGATGATTGGCTGCCTTCCTAAGCTCCTGAGCATCAAGTCCTTCCACATAAGTATGTATGCAACAGTGCAGTTTGATGGGTCATGTTCGGAAGAATTTGTAAATCAATCTGCTCTTGTGATGGAGTTGCCTTCATTGGTACGGACATGCAAATTGTTTGAGCGATGGCTAAATCCCCAAGGACATATTCTGTGGTGAGCTGGCCACTGGCAAACATCAGCTTGGATGGCCTAAACTCTGTTTTGTTGATGTCTTCAAGAAAAACCTTTGTGAACTGCGCATTGATGGCCAACACTGGGAATCAATCACTTTGGACCACTGCAAGTGGAAAGCTGCCATGAAGCAGGGCCTATGTTGCTTTGAGATGGAAAGGGTCAGTGTTGAGATAGAGAGGAGGTGACAGAGGCAGGCAAGACAAGATGGTACTTGGCATGCTGGTGCAAGCTCAACCAGGTTTGTATGTGCAACTTGCCACAGTCTGCTTGTCACGTGTCAGACTCCTCAGACACACGAAGCTGTGGTGGTACCTGGTAACCCACCAAAAGTGCAGTCTTTGTGTTTTCCAGAGACTGATGCCTGCCAATGAGGGGCACTTAAGAGTGAAAGTTTCCCTCCTACTCCCGTCTCTGAAATTCATACATAAAGCTTTTGCTTATTTTCCCCTTATTGGTTTGAGGAGAAAACTACTCCCTGACTTTGTTCACTTCACTTCCCTTCCCTTCCCCTGCATTTGTTAGATGTTATTGATATCTGGCATAATTGCTGGCCCCTCCCAACCGGTGGCTTTGCTAATTCAAGCAACAGCCATCCTGAGGAGCATATTGGTCAAATTGGCAGGAAATGGGAAACGTGCAGTCGAAGAAAACGCATCTCACTTGACAGCAGTAGCTAATACTCCATTGTTTTCTATAGCAACTCTGAAGAAGTCTGTAATAGAGGCAGAGTTATTTCTCCTTCCACTTATTCTTGCTTCTGATTATCTTTCAGCATCTTCCTAGATGTTCATTTACTACTTTGAACTCAAAATAGAGAAAACTGAGTTTCATTTTTTCCCCTAAAACATTCTTCCTTCTTCTGTTGGCATCTTGCTTGACATCCCTTGTTATATTTCTTTTCATACGGGTTTGCACCCTCTGGGATTCTCCTACACATTCAGGCTGACATCAGATCCCTTAGGTCCTTTCTCTACAGAATCTCAGCTTGGTCATTCTTTCTATTTTCTCTAGAGGTCAAACACTTGTCCCTCCATGACTACTGAAACCACCTCTGTAACCTTTGTTTAATCTGTCTGAACTGACTGCTGCTCAAGCCTTCTATGAATCTATTCAATGGTGTTCTTTCATTTTTTTGTCAAGTAGAAGATTTCTGGCTTCCCTGTCAAGCCGAACACAACTCCACTTATGCCTGCATCTTTGTATTTGTTTCTTCCTTTCCTCCCAAGCTCTTCCCCTTCTAAATTCTCTGTGTTGTTTTTGAGCCTTTTCACAAAAATGTATTTAATTTGTAAGTCTTTCTTCCTGTTGTTTCCTGCCTTTTGAGGAGACATTGTTTCACATTATTGATGAAACTAAGTCAGACAGAATACTGCCAGAGTTTCAGTAGCAGGCTCAGGGGTCACTTGTTCCATAAAAGGCTGACTGAAAGTAGCTGTGTGTTTCCACTCTAACTAGAGAAGTGGACACAGTATAGTGCAGAAGTACCCAAGCTAGCTTTAGACTAGTGGTATGACTTTTCTTTCTAACTCTCTAGCTTGCATAGTGGTGGTCATCTAGCTGTGACATCATGGCTAATTTGACCTGCCAAGATGCGATTGCAGTGTAAATTTACTCTTAGACTGATTTTCATATTTGGCTAAGTATTATGCTGTTGCCTTAATGTTTAAGAAGTAACAGGAAAAGCTTTTTAGTAAAGTGGCATGTATGTTAACAATGTCCCATTAATTGTATTTTATATTAATTATTTTCTACAGCTATTCTTTAGAACAGACTGAGCAATTTTTGAACTGTGTCCTGGAGGCAGATCCTGTAAGAACAGTTGTTGCTCAAGGGGCTGTTCAGCAAAGTGAAACCCTCCCTTCCTGCAGTACAGTGAAGAACCGAGTTAAAAAGGTTTTTTCAAATTATTACTAATCTGTATACTTAAATCCTGTCACTGAAGCCATAATATATATGTTTTATTTCAGCATACACAAATTGTCTATGTTATGGTACGCACGAATATTTCACATTCATGGGTTCGTAGAATTTGAAGTACAGAGATTTTTTTAGGTGGCCAGTGCTAACCTATATTCACCTATATTCACTGGTCACACATGCATGTCCTTCATGAAGGAAAGAAGCCTGCTGAGATTAGGCAGAGAAGAGGAAAGGGCAAGAAAGTTCCAACTAATCGGAAAAATATTCAGGATAGAACAGATTTATAGAATTCCAGGGCTGGAATGGACCTCAAAATGCTGTAGCGTACAGTTAGAATGCCTTTATCTGGTTGGCTCTATTTTTGTAGTGTTTTTCATTTTAGGGATGTATAGAGAATATTTTAAATACTTTTTTGAATATTTTTAGAATTAGATCATAATTGCAATTGCAATTTGGTGGAATCTATGATGGCCACAGCGTGTATAAAATTGGTTAGTTTCAGTGACCTTGCATTGAGTAGTGTAGACAAGGATGTTTTCCCTGAGAAGTCTGAATATATATGTTGCCTATGATTAATGTAATACCTTACACTCATGTAACACTTCTCATGAATAGATCACAAAGCACTTAATATAAGGAGATCAGTGTTGTTATACACATTTTATAGACGGGTAAACTGAGGTACTGAAAAAGGAAGTGAGTTGCTAATGGCAACAGGCCTGTGGGAGAGCTGTGACTAAAAACTAGGTCCTCCAAATCTTAGTGCGGTATCTTATCCACTAGGCAAAACTGCCTCCATGTGGAGTAGTCTCAAATAGCTAAAAGGGGGAGCACATTTTTGTTTAGTCAAACTTAAAACCATCTGAAGTTTTAAAAACCCCCTGTTGCAAGGACCAAATAGCTCATGCTGTAAAAATGGGAAGATGAAATATAAAAATAATTTTTTTCCTTCTATATTAAAATAGTACATTGTTCTAAGAAACTTCAGTAGTTTTCAGTTTAACTGACCACAGCAACTTATTTATTCAGTTAGGGTCATTATCAATACCATCCTCTTAGAGGTGGCTTACAGCTGCTTGTAAAATACTTCAACAATAAACAGCTAAACTGGACATGAATTTACATTTTACACATAAGTACCAAAAAGGAACGTATTTTCACTTGTTACTGGTCTGGTCTTTTGATATATTGATGTCTTCTCTCATGCTTGTTTTCCTGTGATGTACTTAGTGTTTTCCCCACTGGAATGAATAAGCAGCACATAGCTGAATGTTCCAGGCAATTACTGCTCCAGTGAGATCAGTAGAAGCCTTGTAAAGGGCTTAATTTGGACTCGGCCTTTCCAGTAAATGTTACCTGTTACAGGCAAAGAAGTTCAAGGAAGATGAAGATGTTATGAGTAAGATGGCGTTTCAAGACATTGAGTACCCTGGATATGATGATTTTAGAGCAGAATCTTTCTTACATCAGCACAAGAGACAGGAGTGTCTGAAAAAGGCAGGGGAGGCATATTGCATGGGTATGAAGCCTGTGGCAGCATTTTATGCACAACAGGTAAAAAAAAAAAAAAAAAAGTTTAAAAAAATGTTTTGTCTTGGTTTACGAATGTGCTCACTACCCAATTAGATTTGATATGAATATGAATTATCTCAGTTATCTGGATATGCTCAATCACTCCTCCCATATGGAAATCTTGAGAAATCATCTGACTAACACATATGCGTTAATATTTCTAAAGTAGATTGTAGTTTCACAGTGATCTGGTAGCATATGTAGAACTAATACTGTGATAAGGCAACTTTCTGTTGAAAGATCCAAAGTTTTAAAACTGAAATGCATAACATATTGTAATGTGACTTTGGATTGATTTTTCTAATGGATAGTGTAATATTGCATATAAATTGGGTGATATTTTATTATCTGTGCTCATATTGGTGGTCTGAGAGTTTTATTGAAATACTGAGGATCTGATTCTTTTAGGAGTGACTTTGTTACATTCCCACTTTAAATGGTATTGCATCTTATTCAAAGAGATTCTAAATAATAATGTCTCCGTGATATTTGGGCAGCTATACAGTTTCAGTCTCTGTCCTGCCTCCTCTTCTTGGATACAAAAACAAGTAAAATTATAAAGAATTTATTGTATGGTTGGTAAGGGAATACAAACTACTACCTTTGCTCCAGAAAAACTTTATCTGCTTTTTGTGTTTTCAGTTTGAGGCAAGTTACAAGGACAAGTTTTTATTTGTGAGCCTAAGTTTGAGGCCGTGGCCTGCACTTGTGGTCTCTTACAAGTGTAAGTTTTAGGCTTGGTATCTTTGAGTCTGCCACTAGTACTTACAAGATTATCTTTTAAAGGAAACTTCAGGATGAAGTGTTACTTATTCCTTTTCTCTATTTATGAATACCCTAAATTCTTAAGCAATTTCCATTTCTCAAGCCGTATCCACAGGTCTTCAAGGAAATGATTTGCTGCTGCAGTCTTTACAGTGATGATATCTGAAAGTTTGTGTGACATGACTGCAGTAACAAAACAAAGTACAGTTATTAGTTGCAGGAAATAATTGAATTAACCATGGCCCAGGAGAATAGAGTAACTCCAAAATAAAAGCCCAGTTCTATAAACGTTTATAAGCAAGTATTATTAATAAGTAGTAAGTGTGTGTGGGATGGAGTTGTTGATTTGGAGTTGTTACAGGTTCATAATCAATTTAAAAGTTCTCATAATTTAGACTCCTCATTGCAGGGAGCGTAACGCAAGTGGTGCATGTTAGTGGGATTACTTTGATCTGCTATGTAATATCTTCTCTGGAAACCCTTTTTTAGTTGAAACATTTATAACATTACAAAAAAATTCAGTGCATCTATTCTGCCACGCTGACAGTTCCATTATTCAGGTTTTGTCTCTTCCGTAACTCCTTAGTAGACTAGGCTATTCCCTTGATAGAAGTGCTGTTTCTGTTTTGGATGATTTGTCAAAGACTTTACTGGAGGGCTTGGTGACTGTGGAAGAAGTATTTGCAAAGCCCGACTAGGCTGATCTTAATGCACACATTTTGTAGTCTCAACCTAGATTTAAAATAGATGTGAGAGGTTTGTTCTGGACTATGGGACAATTTTTGAGTATTCTGAAATAAAGCTTGTACAGCTAAATATTTTCAAAAAAAGAAAATATAATTGTTGGAAAAATTACTAGCAATTTAAAATTTGAGACTAAGTAGAATTTGTGTTTTATTCATACAGGGTTCTTATAAGGTTAAGTTGTCTTTCTGGGTTTCCTTCCCTTTTCTTACAGGGTTTTTATTCTGATCTCTTCTGTGTGACAGCTTTGACTAGTGTCTTGCAAACGGTTTTCATTAAATCAGCACATGACTCTTTCTGAATAGATCTTACTGAGCCATTTCCAGAAGTTGAATTGTGATTACAGCTCACAGTTTGAGGCCATGAAATCTTAAAAGCACCCTGCTTGTGCTGTCATTTTGAATCCCCATAACCAGTATGGAGTTCAGATTATGTCTCAGAATTTAACGGTTGATGTGTTTATGAATAAAGGGCCGCCTTCATGAGCAGAAGATGAAAGAAGCAAACCATGCTGCTGCTGTGCAAATCTTTGAGAAGGTAAATGCCTCCCTGCTGCCCATGAATGTTTTGGATCTGCATGGTCTCCATGTAGATGAAGCCATGAATCACTTGTCCAGAGTACTACAGGAGAAAAGTGAAGGTAGGAATAACCTAATAATCAGTTTTCCCCACACAATTATTTTTTGACACTCTACTCAGCAGGGCCAGAGTAGAAGGAATACATTACATATGCAGGAAAATATAGGGGGTCTGAGTATTGCTAACTTACCTTCAGTAGTAACACCTGCAAACAACCTGTTTTTCTTGTAATCTTTAAAGACCCCTCTGAAAGGTGTTCTTCTTTGCCATGGAAACATGAATAAAATGTTCTTTCCACTTTTTCCTTTCCCACCTGCGTTTCTCTATCAATTTCTTCCTTTTTTCTTTATGCTTTATTCTCAAATCTTTTCTTCTTTTTCTCCTTCTTCAAGAAGATCTGTCACTTACTGATCTTTACCCCTGACATCAGAGTTGATCACACTTGCCTTCATTACCTTCCTTTTACTTTAATTTTTTCACTTGTTTCTTTGCTATTGTGTTTTTTTTCTTAATCTTAGAAATAATAATAATAAAAAAAACATGCTGGCATGCCAGCAATTATGAGGATAATGTCCTAACACTGCTGTTATACAAAAGTTTAATTCCTCTTTCAGGGCCTTTCCATATAATTGTCACCAGTACACATTTTCTTTCAAGTTCAGAAGTACTACCATTTTCAGACATGTCATTTGGTGAAGTAGTTCTTGGAGAGTTTTCTTCCAGTGGCATATTTAAGTATTGCAGAAATGTTGTTTCCTTAGGAAAATATTATGCAAACAAAATACATGCAGAAAATATAATGTTATAAGTGAAGTACAGTTGACATTCTTTACAAGAAATACTTGGTCTATAAGTTACAACTATACAGGCTGTCTTCAAAAAAATAATTTCCTAACAGAGCAGAAACATGAGTCCTAAGAGCTCTTTTCTCATTTGGACTATGGGCAAGAGCTAATTTACTTGAGCCAGTCTATAACTCTCTGCTCCTGAGATGATGATCCTGTACTTTAAGCTGTAACTTAATACTGTTTGTTGATGCATGGTATAGAGTTTTATTTTCCAGAAGCTCAGCATTTGTCATTGGGTGCTTTGGATCATTGCTGGAGTCTTCTCTACTCTAGAAAATATTATTTATTTATTTCAGTCTGAATACATGAAAGGAGACCAGTCGCAGGCACTGGATTGTCTGGCAGTTGGTAAAGATAACAGAATGAAAAATAGGTAGATAAAGGAGAGAGAGGTTGTTATAGACTTCACACAAAGTGATAATCCCTAAATACTTATTCATTTTTTTTTTTAAGTATACACTACATCAGTTTGTTTAATTATAGAATCCAGATTAATTTAACTCTTTGCTTACTCTCTTTTCCTAGTCTGCATCCAAAGGATTTAGCCATAGATAGTAAGCTATTGCAGTCTTCTCAGGAGGTAGAATTTTGTTGATTTACTTAGGCTTACCCAAATAGAAAGCCTCTGAAAGCCTACACTCATGTATTGAAACTGCATATTGATACTTAGGTTGTTTCCAAGAACTTGCTCCAATGTTGAAAAAATTACTCTCCAGCTAGTGTAACTTCGATCTCCAGTTTAAAAAAATAACATACTGGTTCAATGTTTGTCTTTTTCCTCCTATCCTTGTTTGTTAAATGAAGATGAACTTGGTTAAAAAAAAATTTTGGTGCAAAATTGATAGAATTTGTTTAGATTTAAGAGTTTTGTTCTGTGTTCTGTAATTGGTAATTAAGTCAGTCAAATATGGTCCTTGTTATATTGTGCTCTTTTAACTGTTTTATCTTCTAACCATATGTTAATTTCAAGCAATGGTCTGATATTGTAAATGGTAGTTGAACTTGCAATAAAATCATTAACTCTGTGTGACAGAGCACATATAGATTGTACATTTGAACAATTCCAATATAAGTTCTTAAACAATAATGATGCATTTAATTTACTTTTTATGCTGGCGGAGAAAAAACACTAAGGCAGTGTTGTACATATAACATCTATAGCCAGCGTACTAAAACAAAAAAAGGTCTAAATCACTGCGGTAAAAGTTTTCAGATGTATGGATGAAAAAGTTCTTTTGAACACCGAGTCTGT